GGGGAGGGAGGGGAAAAATGAGGACCTAATGTCGGGGGTTTAAATGGAGAGAAAATGTTTTGAGAAACGATGTACAAATGCGCATTACACAATTGATGTGTGTATGGATTGTGATAAGAGTTGTATGAGCCCCTAATAAAATGTTTTTAAAAAAAATAAAAAAGAAAATCAAACATCTCAAAAAAAAATAATAAAAAGCAGACTGCTCCATGTTGCTCCCGGAGAGTGGCGTTAGCCCTTGGGTTACACATGGAGCGCTTTACCACTGCGTCGCCTGGACTCCTTGGAGACCTACAGGCACAGAGAAATAAGATCCTACACCAGTGTGGTCCTCGCTCATGGGGAACAGAAGTTTGGGAAGTGCTGTGTGAACTGCCTTTGCTAGCCTTGTACCTTTCAAGTGCTGGCTGCCCGGCAGCCAGTCAGAGCCCACGCAGAGCTTCCCTCCGAAGGGGCTTCGAAAAGCATGGAGAAACGCCATTACCTTTTTTTTAAGATCATTTTATTGGGGGCTCTTACAGCGCTTATAATGATCCATACATCAATTGTATCAAGCATGTTTGTACATCTGTTGCCATCATCACTTTCTAAACATTCACGTTCTATTTGAGCCCTTGGTATCAGCTCCTTTTCCCCCTCCCTCTCCCCCAACCTCGTGACCCCTTGATAAATTATAATTTTCATATTTTTTTCATATCTCACTGTCCCACCCATGTTTCTGTTGTTCGTGGGGGGGGCGGCGCGGCATATGTTACATGTCATCATTTAAGTTGGTTCCCCCTTCCTCCCCTTGGCCTCCCACCTCCCCCATACCCTCCTGGTATTGCTACTCCCATTTCTGTTCCTGGGGGGTTTATCTGACCTGGATTCCATGTCATGAGCTCCTATCTGTACCAGTATTCGTGCTCCAGTCTAGTCAAAACAAAGGCAGGACTGGGGTCATGATACTGGCAGGGAGAGGGGGGAGGTGAGGAAGCCTCAAAGAACCAGAGGAATATCGTGTTCTTCATTGGTGCTATATTGCACCCTGGTTGACTCATCCCTTCCTTGTGACCCTTCTATGAGGAGATGTCCTATGGTCTACAGATGGGTTTGAGGTCTCTGCTCTGACCCTCCTCATTCTCAACAATGTTTTGTTGTTTTGGGTCTTCTGATCCTATGCCTGTTACCTGATCCTATCGACACCTCGTGATCACACAGGCTGGTGTGCTTCTTCCATGTGGGCTTTGTTGCTTCTCAGCTAGATGGCCGCTTGTTTATTTTCAAGTCTTTTAGACCCCAGACACTTTATCTTTTGATAGCCGGGTACCATCAGCTTTCTTCACCACACTTGCTTATGCACCCACTTTGTTTTCAGCAATTGTGCCAGGAGGGTGAGCATCACAGAATGCCAAGATGTTAGAACAAAGTATTCTCGTGTTGAGGAGGGGGCTTGAGTTGAGGCCCAAAGTCTGTCCACATCCTCAATGTATTGCCATATAAATATGTGTACATAAGCCAACACCTCTATTTTTATTAATTTACATAAGTGCACACCTATGTTTATATCTCTATCCAAAGCATTGCTTCCTAGCTCTTTCCTCTATTTCCTTTTACCTATATCCTGTCACCCTTGCCCTTCTTCTTTTAGTAATTCCTTTCAGCTAGATTCTTGTTGCTCCAACACCCCCAGGATCTCTATGTCCTCATTGTTGATTTTAATTCTAGTTGTTCCCCTGTCTATGAAAGCAAGAATATATCCATTACCTTTTAATTCCATTTCGGAGGCCCGGTATGGCATGTGGAACAAGGTTTAGATTTCAGGAGAGCATAATGCATTTTTTTAAATCACGATAGTTGCTAAAGCCACTGGCTTGAGAGCCATCTCATATGAAGAAACTGATGTCTGGAGAGATTGGGGGACTTCACTAATGTCACGTGCGCAGTGTCTTTGAGGCCGGGCTCTCTAGATTATAAATTGAATTCTGGTGCTATGGCCCCCAAAGTCACACACAGCCTACTTGCTCATTCCAATCTCTCAGAGCACACGCGGGGTCATGTGCTCCTGCCCTGCACTCCGGCAGCTGCAGACACCCGATAGACACCTTTGTTAGGATAGCGAGGCAAGTTGGGAACTTAATGAATGATGTCTGCCTAGGGCATGCCTGAACGCCTAAAAGTGCTGTCAAAATGGAACAGAACCCCCCTCATAGAGCAGGGGCCATAACACTAGTACAAAGCTACATGCAGGCAGAAGACAGAGTACAACTGCCCCTGTGAGTTTCAGAGAACAGTGATCAAGGGGCATGCCTTTACACTTATTTTGTAAGTGCAAAACGCTAACACATTCGACACTCTCTGAGCATGAATGACTTAATGTACTCACCAATTTTCTACATGTGTGACCTTGGGTATAACCTAACTGGCCCCTGCCTCAATTTCCCCGGCTTATAAAATAATAAAATGCCCACCTGATAAGGATGCTGTGAAGATTAAATGGGTTAATTCAGTGAGTGTAAACACCCCATATATGGGAAATGCTGCTATGCCCAAAGATGGAGGGGCACTGTCTGGTGGCATGGGTGGGGGGGAGCTTTCTTTAACTGAGACGCTGCTAGGGAAGTCTGGGGGTTAAAAGACTAGTCCAGGCAGCCCCTGGCTTACAGCAGGCTGTTCTGACAAGTTGGTCATCAGTTCTGATGTAAACTGAGTGCCCCTCCCACCCTGACCCCATTATTACTTTTTATTACCAGGGTCCTTAAACATTCTATCTTTGCACATCTGAGAATAACACCAGTAAATCATGCTCTGTAATATTTTATCTAGTGCATATGTCTAGTAAGACTTTTTTTTTTTAAAAAATGGCATTGCTAAATGCAGTTTGTCATAATTCGAATTCATCCTAATTTCCGGGCTGCCTGTATTCTTACAGTAAGCTGAGTTTTTGTGGAAAGGAATGTGTACTTGTAGCTTTCCTATAAGGTGGCTAACTGCTCATTTCGGGGACATTTTGCTTTGGAGTTGGCCTATGGTAAGTAAAGTAGGTCGTTGGGAAGGTCTTTACAAATTGGGTTTTCAAGTAGAAGGGCATCTTTCCCCTCAGTGATTCACCGAGTAGGAGCAGCCTCCTTGAAGTCCACCAACCACTACTCTATTACTCACTGCCACCGAGCCGATGCCGACTCACAGCAACCCTGCAGGCTCAGCTGGAGCGGGTCTCCCGTGGGCTTCCGAGATTGCAATTCTTCAGAGAAGAAAGCTTTGTCTTTGTCTCTTGGAGCAGCAGGTGGTTTCAAATTGTTGACCTTGGGGTTAGCCACCCAAAGTACAACTATTGCACCACCAGGGCTCCTTACAGCGACCCCTGGACAGGGAAGCATTGCCCCTGTGGATTTCTGAGACCATGACTCTTCACGGGAGAAAAAAGCCTCATCATTCTCCTATGGATCGGCAGCAGTTTCAAACTGCAGACGTTGCAGTTAGCAAACTAATGCGTGACCACTATGCCACCAGGGTAGAGGTAAATATTTAATACCCAAAAAAGCAATCCATTTCTAGACAAGCTCTTGAGACTACAATACCTGCTGGCATTTCAAGCCCAAGGTAAGAGATGCTTGTGAAACTTGGAGGTCTGTGGATGATGCCACCTACAGGCCACTATGGAAACTACAGGCAGCTCGGGTTTGGTTTAGAGGATTTTAGTATATGCTACTCAAGTATGGTTACGGCCAGAGAAATGGCATCACCCAGGAGCTTGTTAGAAATGCACCTTCTCAAGCCCCCACCCTGCACCTTCTACTGGGTGTGTGGGGTTGGGGGGTGGGAGCACAGCATTGTACTAGGCCATTGGACAGGAGCATCACTTGGCAGAGACATCTTTGCAGCCCCACTGAGGGGTCATAGCCCTCTGCCTTGAAAAGTCTTCAGGTGAAGATCAAGCCTTTCTCTCCAAACAAAGAGATAAATGGAAATATAAAAGCCACGCTGTCCTGAGATCCAAGAACATAAAGTGAGAGCTTCACAGCTCACTGCCAGTGTTCCCTCTACCGTTTCCTACACTGGGCACTTGGACTGCCTGGCCCCGTCAAGGAACACGTGCAGGGACACTTCTAGCCCTGGAATCAGACAACAGGGCCCAGCAGCGTCTGCACTTCTGTAGTCCGGCCCCCCAACCCAGTACCATCAGCTCAGACTCTTGGAATGACCCCCGGGGCTTCCCAAGCTTGCATCTTCATGGGGGCAGAATGCTGCATCTTTCTCCTCTCAGCCGCTAGTGGGTTCAGGCTAAAGAACTTTCAGTTAGCAGCAAGCACCTTAATCACCGAGCCACCAGGGTTCTCTGTGGCCAAGGGATTCTGTACACAGCCTGTCAAGCCTAGCACCACCTGCCACCCTTCACTGACACTCCCGACCACCTCACCTGCCGAAGCCCAGAATTCTCTCCTGCTTCTTAGCCACACCATCATGTTGATTTCGGGCAGAGCTGCTCCGTAGGGTTTCCCAGACTTCTAAGTAGTTTGTTACTGCAGCAGACAGCCTCACCTTTCTCCCGTGGGGCTGCTGGTGAATCTCAACTGCCCACCTTCCAGTCCAGTGCCTAGCCCACAGGGCCACGAGGGCTCCTTCCTCCCTCTCGATGAATCTACGTCACTGTTGAGGCACCACGTGCCTCACATGCACTCTACAAGCTCTGGAGGGGAGGGAGCCATGATCTGGGTGCCCCAGTTCCCCACACAATGCCCAAAGGCTGGCTGACCAGAGGCCCATGGGGATTCAAGCAGCAGCAGCTCACAAGACCCAGCCATGGTTACGGCCAGCCTTGCCCCCGTCCCAATCTTACACCACGAAAGCTGGGAAAGGCCAAGTTAGAAGTAAAGACGTTATCGAAGGTAAGATCCAGAACCTAGCCTTCCTCACACCCACTGCCGTAAAGCTCAAATCCCAGTCTCTCATGTCGCTGTACATCGGAATCGACCCGATGGCAGTGGGCTTGGTTTAATACCAGTTTTCCTAAAATGGCTGCGAAGCAAATGAAGACTGCCAGCTGTCCCAGAGCAGGATCTGAGTGGTGAGTCAGCGAGGGACGGACAGCACCAGGCCTCAGCTTCCCACGAGGATTCAGGTGCAAGCGATGGAAATGGACACCTGCCTGTTGCAAATGAAGTTAAAATATTAAGTATTCTCCTCTGGGGAACATCTCGGCGAGGAAGTGCCAGGCCTCATCAAACACGAACACGCACTGGGAAGCAAGTCTGGTGGCTGTTCTCAGTGGGCGCGAAAAATAGAATCCTCTTCTGTCTCTGATCAAAAGTAGTAGAAACTGGAAATACCAGGCCAGGGCAGTATTAAGAGAAAATGAAGATACAACAGTTTCTTGAGACCTTTATTCATTTTTTTCTTTTTCAGAATTGAAGGTCATGGAACACATCAGAAACTCAGATTTGCATCTTATTTGGTGTCTCACTGAGCACAACTTCTCTTAGTGTAACTGCTATGGAGTAATCCTTGGCAAAGCGAGACAACAAATGGACTAGCTTTTCAGTAGGTTGTCCCTGCTTCCCCGCTGCCTTGCATGTTAACACCTTGGCTCCTTAAGCACCTGTGGCAGCTGAGTGCCCAGTCCCAACCTCGAAGATTCAGAGAGAAAAGGGCCTTCCTGGCCCGGCAGAGTGCGAGTCACCAGGCCAGTGGGCCGGGCACCCCCAGGGCTCAGAGGTGCTTGCTGAATGAGTGGTCTTTATGGTGACAACCTGGTGCTGGCCTAACTTCAGGTCCTACAGCAACATAGGCCCGTGTTTCTGTCAAAATAAAGGCCCATTATTGCTAGAACACAAATGCACCTCATTAGTCGGCTTTCTTGACGATCGCAGGGCACTGTGTGCCTGGTGCGGCAGGTCACCGCTCAGGCAAGAATACAAGAGGGCGGAGGAGGGAGGTACATGGTGGGCAGGGGAAGGGGGCCAGAGACTTCTAAAGAAAAGCTGGATGCGAGGGGAAGCATGTGTTGCCTTCAGGGGGCACGGCAGAGCTGCCCTGTTTATATCCACTGTACCTAACAAGCAGGAGTGACAGGCTGGAATTCTCCCAGTTCATTCTTACATTTCACTGGACGTGGGAGCCCGGAGTGCAAACAGGGAAATGCCTCTTACGTATGTCCTTGAATGAGACTCCGAGCACCCTAAGATCCGTGGGTTAATTGGCTTTTCAAAGAAAGCTATTTATGTCCCTTCCCAAACCTGCACTATAGACTCTTATCAAGGAACAGTTTAAAATGAACCTTCTCTGTCTACCTTTACCCACCCAGCTTTCTGGATAAACACTTTTAAGAAGTGAGAGGAGGGCATGAAGCAGCAGTCAATTCTGATTTTCCTACTTTTGTAACATCAAAATCCACCAAACTTGGACTGATCAAACAACAACATCCCCTCGAACTTGTCCTGACTGGAATAGCACTCGATTCTGATCAATAAAATACTGTCCGCCACAGGGGGCAGTGCTACTTGCCTTTTTGAGAGACATCTACCTCTTCCCTCTGCTGCCCCAGAGACTCCCCTATCGGTGAAGGCCCGGCTGTCCCCCCAGTTTCATCTAGATTGGCCTCAGCACACTTGTCCAGCTTACTGCACTCCTGACTTAGAACATAAACTTATTTCTTAGACGTCACACTTCGTTATCATTTACCTTTAACTATCATGGATAGGAACACCTTTTAAAACCATGAATTTGAAACCCGCAGAGAAAAAGAATGACAAGAGAGGTTTCCTGTAATGCCTTGAAGGTTAAGACATTTTTAAAAAAGTGACTCTTTCCTCTTTTTCTCCTGACCAGGGCCCTGGTGGCAAAGTGGGTTCTATGTTGGGCTGTAAGGTTTAGTCCGGGAAACCCTGAGGGGCACGTCCACTCTGTCTACGGGTCACTGGGAGGTAGACTCAAAGACCACGGTGGCTTTCCCCGCTCAGCTGAACTTTCTGCCTTCAACTTTATGAGCGAACTCCGAGCGTGGGAGCTTTCAGTCTTCCCAGTGCACCATTCGTTTGAAAGAGGGGCCGCCACGCTGAGCTCAGCGAAGCTGACGGGAGAACAGAGCTCCTACCCGCAGCCCCGCCCCTCCACCTAGAAGCTGTAGGGAAAGTACTCCCACCGAATTGTGACCATCTTTGGACATGCGCTTTTTAAAAGGCCCAAATGAGAGTCCATGCCTCCTTTTGTTAACACTATTTCAGTGTTTTGTCCTGTCTTTACGAATTCAATACTCCTTTTTACAAGTCAGCCCATTCTGTGTCCATCTCAAAACATACACACATCAGCACAAAGTACCCTAATTGCAACGTAGGTTAAAGTGGTTACAGGTACCTCAGTTAGTTAATGTGTGGTACCTAGGCATCAATAGGACAGCTGGTCTTCAAAGTATGGGGGCGTCTAAAACTGGTCTCAAGTGACCGGAGTTAACTTTGCTCAGGCAGGCTGTTTAAGGTCGTCTCTGCTGCCGGAGAGCAGCTCGCAGCTCCTCACACACACTAAGTGGGCACTCCAGTCTGTCCTCCTTGGCCCGTATTCCAGAGCGATAGCTTACCTGTCATAATTGCTTCCCCGGAACATGGAAGTGAGCCGGGGTTTTGAGAGGGTAACATGGCACCAAGGGTGCAGAACCCAAAGGGGATTTCGGCATGAAGGCAGAGCTTGACAGACATGCAAGTCTACGGCTTCCCATCTCTGTTCCACTGGGCCTGGAGCACAAGCGGAGTCCGGTCACCAGCAGGGTAGCAGGGCACGTGCTGCCAGTGGCAGAAGTGCATAGGCTTTCCTCAAGGAAGGCACAGATGGGGGGGACACTCCCTCGGGGGTGGGGTGGGGAGCTGCTTGGATGGACCAATGCCATCTCCTAGGGAACTGCGGACAGCAGAAACTCTTACCTGAGATGCTGCTTCAGTCTACTCAGTTAACTGAGGGAGCATTTGCCTGCTTTGACAAAAGGGAGATAAGGGTCTCCATACGAGACTCATGCTTGGTTGGTTTTCTCTGGAGACCAATTTTGATTAACCTGGACACACTGGCCAGCTAGATTGTCCCTAGGTACAGAGTCGGTTTTGCTTTTCAGACCCAATGAGCTTGAAGACAGGGGCACAGGTTTCCATGAGTGACCTCAGAGATTCCCCATCTGCTTCTACCAAGTGTGCCTCGCTCTTCTCCTCTAAGCGCTGGCCAGAGGGCCACCACACAGCTTGTTAGGAGGAGCTCCCATCCGATCCTCACAATACAACCTGCCCCTCCCAACAGAAAGCGCTAGCTGGCTCAGTAGAATACAAGGCTTTATTTGCTGCCACTCCTTAGGAGGCAGTAAGCGTTCCAATTCAACTAGTCCCGGTAAAAAAGGACTTGAAAGATTGTAAAGTGTTTTCAGAAAATCCACGAGTGTGGAGACAGGATTGGAAGCTTCAACTCAAAATTCACTGCAGAACCCAATCACCTGTCCCAATGTCCCACCTCGGCAAGCCCCAAGGCACGGGATTTCCAACCCCGATGGACAGCAGGTGATGCCACCTGACCATCTCCGAGGCCTAACCCGTGTAGTCTCTGCTACAGAAAGCCCCAGACCGCCCAGGTCACCCCGCCTTCTGTCCCCAGAACTTTCTGCTGGCCAGCTCCAGTCCGTAGGCTACCCTTTGGAATGGATTGTGCTGTTTCTCTATCTTTGTAAGAAGTTTCGGGAATTCTGCGTTGAGAGTTACAGGTGGGACAGGGGCATCCTGTCCTCCACCAGCACAGCATCGGCCCCAAACTGGTCTGTGCACTGCTTCACGGTGGCCAGGACGCTCAGCAGCCGTTGCTCCACTGCGTCCAGGTGCAGCTCGGAGAGCACGGGGGCGATGGGGTCGGGGGCCGTGGCCGATTTTAAGGCGGACTTTAGCACACCGTTCTTTAGGTAGTTCAGTCTGTTCCAGGTGGAGACGCGAATGCTGGAAGGCAAAGTGTAGGAGAGGTTACACAAACCCTCTCACTGTCACATAGAGCTGAGAGCCTGCTCGGCAGACAGGAGTCAGGGAGGAAACTAGGCACCGTGATCCAACAGGAACTCACCTCTGTAGGAGCACTCCATCCCAAGTCATGTGACCCCAACCAGCTCTGTTCTTTTATGCGTAAGTAATTTGAGGATCAACACAAAGATTACATGTATTTACCAGGGATGTTTCAAAATGCTCGTGGGAAATGGAATGAAAGACTGTGAGATTTCCCCACAAACTCTCTGAAGCTTTTTGGTCCGTTCACGGCAGCGTCTGCAACAAGAGCCCTGGGAAGCAATGGGAAGGTCCAACCTCCAGGAAGTAGTTGATCTGGCTCAGCCAGGCAAAGGGGTATGAAGCAGCCTTCAAGAGCATTTTTGAAAATTTGGTGTGGTTAGAAAATGCCTATAATACAATGGTGAGGGGACTGAAAAAAAGGGAGGGTACCTAGTCTACCCTCAATCTGTGTCTATGTGCATATGCATAAATGTACACACTCATGATTAGAATGAAGAACTCTAGAACGTTCACAGGAGTTACTCTTAGAGTTAATGGGCAATTTCTATTTTCTTCTTTACAGGCAGGCCTCGGCTACAAATGAGATCTGTTCCTGTTGTGTCTAATTTGTTGGTAAGCCAGAGCAGGTGGCCGCTGGGTCTGAATTGGAGGGATTTGAGGTTGTCCCTGGACTGAGAAGCTGCCTGTGGCTGTGATGGGGAATCTGTGGTGAGCGGCTGGGTCAATGCGATCCAGGTTTCCATGCAGGGCGAATCCACATACAGGAATGGGCAAGTGTGAGTTTGTAAATCAGATGTTTGTATCCCAGGGCCTACTGCGTGTTTCTAGTTTTAAGACATTTCTAACTTTATATTATAAACAAGACCAAATATATTTTAAGACACTTATCTTTCTTAAGTTATTTCACCAACTAATGAGGATCTTTTGTTGATCCCACCAGAAGAGGTTCTCAGGTGGATGAATGGGGATGACTAGGCATGCAGAAAAGAGGCCTCTTGTCCTGCAGCTATTTAAAAAGTACATAATACAACAGACAAGGTACTAATTACCTAAATCTATGGAATCCTGCTGCACCTCAATAAGAAAAACACAAATAATTCAATTAAAAGGGGCACAAAGGACATGAGGAGAAATTCAGGATCACTAGCCATCAGGGAAATGCAAATCAAAACGATGACCAGCTACACCTTACACCCACAGTGATAGCCCAATTAAAAAAAGAAACAGAACCACAAATGCTGGAGAAGGTGCGGAAAGACTGGGACTCTTACACACTGCTCGTGGGTTTGTAAACAGGTACGACCACTGTGAAAAGTGACCTGGTACTACCTAAAACAGCTAAGGATAGAAATACTATATAAACTCACAACCTTATAGGACAGGGTAGACCAGGCCCTGTGAGTTTCTATGACTATAACTATTTACGGAAGCACAGAGCCCCATCTTTTCCCCGCAGGGCGCCTGGTGGTTTCAAACTGCAGACATTAAGGACTGCAGTGTAACTTGTATCCACTATGCCACCAGGGCTCCTTCAGAAATACCATACAAGCCAGCAATTCCTTTACTAGGCATATACCCTAAAGAAATCCAGGCACAGAACATGAACAGATGTATGCTCTCCCACAGTTCACAGTAGCAAGAAGCTGGAAAGAGCCCACAGATGCCCATCAGTAGAAGAATGAATAAATAGGTACATAAACAGTGGAAAACTATGCATCTCTAAAAAACTGCGATGAAACAATGATCAGAAATAACATCCTGGGCTTTAATGCTTGTCTTCTAACATCCATCTAAGTTAGGCATCAGTTAAGTCTACATGGCAGCACACCAGCCTGAGTGATCCAAGGATCGCAAATAATAAAATCCAAATCCAAAGAAGGGAATGCTATCAGTTTACATTGTGAACACCCAGCTTGCAGAAGGCTATGGATGACAGTGGAAGTCCAAAATATATTTGCAGGGTCCCCACGTGGATTAAGCCTCTGGTGACTCCCCTCTGACCACAGTCCAGAGATGTGAATAGCCTTGTCATCAGACATAGAGCACTGTAAAGTCGATTATGGCAGATGTAGTTAGGTTAAAATGTAATACCTAAGCATCTAATCTCCATTTGACCCATTTAAAATTTGTTTTTAATATAATATTTTCTGCTATGTTTTCCCTGTTTTCTTTTTTGATTGAGGTTTTTTTCAATTTTGTCTAGTCATTGTTGGTATCTGCTCCCTGGGTCTTGCACGATTTTCTGCACATGAGGTCCAGGACAGGTGTTCCAGAGGACAGTAACTGGTCAATGCTTCCCTGGGGTCGGCCACAAAGCCCACATGGAGCGGTGTGGGAAACCATCGGCTGCTCCACGCAGACAGACGGGCTTTCTCCTCCCGTAACGAGTCACAGTCGCAGCAACTCACAGGGGCAAGTCTGCCCTGTCCCCTAGAGCTGCTGAGAGTCGGGCCGACTTGATGGCTTTGAGAGAGGTTGGTTTATATGGGGCACAACGGGGGGATGGGGGTCATGGGAGCTAACGAGTACGAAAACGACAATGTTCTGAAAATGATGGTGGTGATGACTGCACAAACCGTCTTAATTATTAAATTGTATGTTATGTAAAATAGATGCCAGCAAAATTATTTAAAAATAAAGAGTAAGGAAGCTCCACCTGTGCTCAAAACGTGCGAGAGAGAAAGATCCATTAAAGTCCTGGATACAGTAGGAAGAAAGACAATGTGGAAAAAACTCAGAAAAAACAACAACAAAATAAATGCCAGGCTTTCTGGTCTGCGAGAGGCTGGTAGAACCCGTGAGACTATGGCCCTTAGATACCGTTTAGGCCTGCCAGTTGACTTATGCCAGTGTCCCAGCTTTCAGCCTGACAATTGGCAGGTCTATACACTGGACAGCAACACTAGCAACATGTGCACTTCTTACACCACAGGAGACCACAAAGGACAGCATTTCCTGGGGGCAAAGCTCCCTGAGGAAGCAGGAAGAGGAAGGCAAATGGAAGCAGTAGACCTGGAGGATTTGGAGAGAGTGATTATACTTTGCAGCAGTGGTCTCAACCTTCCTAATGCCGGGACCCTTTCAGACAGTTTCTCATGTGGTGGTGACCCCCAGCCATAAAGTTATTTTCGTTGCTCCAACATCACTGTAATTTTGCTACTGTTATGAATCATAATGTAAATATCTGATATGCAGGACATATTTTCATGGTTACAAATTGAAATAATTAAAGCATAGTGATTAATCACAAAAACAATATGTAATTATATATTGTGAAATATTTATTTCTAATTACAAATAAAAGAAATTTTGTCTTGAAGTATGGTGTAGCATGGGTACAGTTTTCATGCCAGGTACTCGGATGTGGGCATATCTGCATGTGGGTGGACCTGCCTGGAGACGGATAGAGGAGCAGAGGTCTCAGTTCCTAAGACCATCGGAAATATGTGTTTTCCGATGGTCTTAGGCAACTCCAAACGGGGTTCACGACCCACAGGTTGAGAATCACTGCTTTACAGGGACTGCAAAATGTATGTGAATTGCTTGATGGAAAACCAAATGGCTCTGTAAACCTTCACCACAATAAAGAGCTAAAAGTAAAATCCGTGTCCCAGGCAACAACACCAATGAGATGCTGGTGGGGATGTCAGTGGTTTGCTGCCCGATAGACTCCAACTCATGGAGTCCCAGAGGTGTCAGAGAGGAGCAGCTCCGGGAGGTTTTTAAATGTGTGCCCTTTGGAAGCAGTTCGCTAGATCTTTCTGCCCAAGAACCTCAGGGAGTGTGACCTGCCAATCTTGCAGCTGACATTGTTTCATCTCTGTGTGCCCCGCCTGCAATCCTGTTTCATCACTGTAGGACCCCCTGCAAGCCTATTGGTGGCAGTTGGGCACCATCTAGTTCCTCTGGTCTCTGGGTTATGAAAGCTGTGTGATGTATGTGGCCATTAGTCCTTTAGAACAACTGCGTCCGTGTGTCTTTGATTTTTTTTTTCACTCCTCTTTACCCCAAAGAGGGCGGGACCAATAGTTATACTTTTGATGGCTGCTACCCCAACCACTACTCACCAAAGTCGGTTGGAGAACGCTGCCAGTCAAATCTGCGTCAGCTGGCATGTCAGAGCCTGCAAAGGCGATGTTTTCATCCTGCTTTTTTTTAAGTGACTGCAGTCTA